AAAAAAAACAGAATTCCTCCCTTTCCTGATCATTTTGATTTTGGGGAAGAGCCAGAACTGAAATGGAGCCAGAGCTGGTGAATAACGTGGATAAGGACACATGGCCATGTTTTTCTTTGACAGAAATTGCCATAAAGATTTGATCAAGGGCTGGGGATATAGCTCAGTGGCACAAGCACCTGCCTGGCAAGCATGTCAGGACCTGCAAGGTCCTGAGTTCGATTTCCAGTACCAAAAAAAAAAAAAAAAGATCAAAAACATGGTGAATGTTTAAATTTCAAAATGTTACAGTAAACTACGGTCATTAACCTCACTCAAAATACAATACTTCCCCTCAGTTTGAACACAGGTATCCCACTGTTTCTGGCAGTGAGCCTTTCACTGTAACCTCATTTATTTTTCTATTTTTACTTTTATTGGCATTTATTTTCTACTTAAATTTATTCCTGTGCCGTAAGTTTCTGTTTCTTCAGTTTCTCCTGGGTTATCTTTTTTTTTTTTTCCTTCTCTGCAAGTTCCTCCTCTGGTTCAGGAACAATTTATTCCTCTTCAGTGAGGGTCGTCTCATGCGGCGGGGAGCTCATGGGTGGGAACACTGGTTAAGTACAGGGGCGGCGCATGCTGGGTGCTTTGTTCACCTGGCTCTGTTCAATGACCCGAGGATCTACATCTAAACCCTTAAATTCAGCATTGCTCTCTGAATTGTTAAGCATGTGCAGCAAGTATCCAGCACTTTTTGGGCCTGGGCACACCCGCCACCCCAGCACTGTACCGCTAGAAGGACACACACTGCTTCTGTGATGTGACATCCTTCAGATCCTTGGTGGCCTTTCGGATACGCAGGCCCTGGATGGCCTGGGCAGTTTCATGGATGTTTTTAAAGTGAACACGAACATTTGAGCCTCTTGATTTGCCTGATTTGGGGGGATTTTCTGGGTCAACAGAGCAGCGAACCATTTTCACAGTTCACCTCAGGCTGTTCACAGGAAGAGGAAGAGCCTGTAATCTCATCTTTTTATCTTTTCGGGAAAATTTTTTTTTTTTTTTTCTTTTTGAGACAGGGTCTCACTATGCTGTTCAGGCTGGCCTTGAGCTCACTTTGTAGCCCAGGGTGATCTTTTTTTTGTTTTTTTCCAGTACCGGGAATCGGACTCACAACCTTGTGCTTGCCAGGCAGGCACTGTGCCGCTGAGCTAAATCCCCAGACCCCTGCCCAGGGTGGTCTTGAACTCACAATGAATCCTCCTGCCTCAGCCTCCCGAGTGCTGGGACTACGGGCAGAAGTCACCACGCCCGGCCAGTCATTTCTTTCTTAATTTAAGCATTCACTCTACCTTTCCATCACCCAGTAGCCTGGCCGGGCACCGTGCAAAACAGTTAACATCTTTTGTGACTTTGAAACAGTCTGTGTTTATTATTTTATTTCCTGACTGGAGAGAGATGCTGATTAGCGGGATATTATCAGTAGCTTACATTTCTGAAATGCTTGCTGTGCACCGGGCGAGATTTTACAGATGAGATGACTGACTCTGATAAGGAAGGACACACATCCAGGGTCACAGAGAAAAAAAAAAAAAAAAAAGTATGTTGCTTCGGAAGCTACAAGTGGATCTGCTCCCAGCCACCTGGGGGCCTCTGGGCCCGGGAGCACCCCGCCCCCTCCCTGGGGCCCTTATCTCAGCCAGGGCTGCTGCAGGCCACGCCCCTCGGGGAGGGGCCGCTGGAGGCTCCTGGCCGGGAAGGGCCTGGTCAGCTGTGTCCGGCGGCGGAGGCAGCTGCTGACCCAGCTGTGCCCTTTGCCAGGGGAGGGGGACCGGGGGCAGGAGCCCTGGGTTCCCCTGGGGCGGGGGCGGCATCATGGACCACCTCGGGGCGCCCCTCTGGCCCCGAGTTGGCCCCCTCTGTCTCCTGCTGGCTGGGGCAGCCTGGGCGCCCCCACCTAACTCCACGGACCCCAAATTTGAGAGCAAAGGTAAGGATCGATGTGTGTGGGGGCCGCCACACTATGTCCCCCGGGTGGGGGCAGTGTTGGGCCTGGACTGCCCGTCTGGGTCCACACCGGCTTTTGAACCTCAACGCTGGGTCTTGAGGGGCCGAGCTGAACCCCTAAACCGAGCCCTAAGGAACTGGAGTCTGAGTCGCTGGAATGGGAGAAGGCAGAGAGGGACCTAGGGTCCTTGCTGCATCTTTTCAGAGAGTCTCGGGCTTGCTTCCTGGTAAAGGGACCGGGTGCTAGCGGGTCGTCTCCCCGAAGTCTGAGTCCCCGGCGACCCAGCGGGCCATGCAGTGGGGGACGGGATAGAGCCGGGCCGGAGGGGCTTGGTGCCCGGCTGCCTGTAAACACGGCCTGTGCGCCTGGCACTCGCCCCCGGTCCCGCCGGCGGGAGGAAGCGGGCGGGGGACACGGTTGGAGCTATCGGGCGGCCGGGAGCCTGCGGGGGCCGATAGGGGCCGCCTGTCCGCACCCACCCGCGGGGGCGTCCTGGGCTGTCCGAGGCGGGGCGCGCGGCGGGGCCCCAGGTCTCCAAAGCTGCGTGCAGCTCAGCCCGCGCGGGGTGGGTGGGTGGGCGTGCGCGGGCGAGGGGGGAAACTGAGGCAAGCAACTTGAGCTTGTTAATGGACGGCACCCCCTCTGCACACCCTCCAGGGCGCTGCGGGGAAGAGGGCGGGGCGGGGCTTTTTTCTTATCGGGTCCCCACAGGCAGCGGGAGGGAGGGCAAGGGGGCTGGGGCAGAGCGCAGGGCCGGCTGCCCTGACCCCCTCCTCCCGCGGCCACCTCCCAGCGGCGCTGCTGGTGGCCCGCGGGCCCCAAGAGCTTCTCTGCTTCACCGAGCGGCTGGAGGACTTGGTGTGTTTCTGGGAGGAAGCCGCAAGCTCCGGGCTCACCTCCAGCAACTACAGCTTCTCCTACCAGTTCGAGTGAGTCGCGCGGAGGCCGGCGTCCTGTGGGGTGGGGGTCCCCGGGGCTCGCAGCCTGAGATGTCCCCTAGGGCCTAGGGTCTGGGTGGCGCTTCCGGCGGTAGGAAGCCCCTAGGGTCGGGACTGGCGTACCCCCTAGTGGCTGGGGCTGGAATACTTCTTGATCGCCTCTGGGAGGCGACCCCAAACATCAAGGTTCTGACAGTCTCCCTTCAGTTTTGGGCTCCGGTGTCACTAACTGGAGCTGGGACGCCCTCTCGTGGTGTAATCAAACGCCCCCAAGGCGGGGCGCAGTGGCACACTCGCCTGTAATCCCAGCGCCTGTAATCCCAGCATCGAGGAGGCTGAAGCAGGAGGATCGCGGCGAGTTGAGGCCAGCCTGGGCTACATAGTGCGCTCAAGGCCAGCCTGGACTATGTAGCGAGACCCCGTCTCAAACAAAACAAAAACTCACACGGTCGGGGTTGCGCAAACTCCTGAGCCCCCAACCCCGCCATCAACGTGCTCCCTTTCCTTTCCGGCCCCTGTGCTACAGGGGCGAGCCTTGGAAGCCCTGTGACCTGCACCAGGCGCCCACCGCCCTGGGCGCCGTGCGCTTCTGGTGCTCGCTGCCCACGGCCGACACATCGAGCTTCGTGCCCCTGGAGCTGCGCGTCACGGAGGCCTCCTCCCGCTCCGCACGGTATCAGCGGGTCATCCACATCAACGAAGTGGGTGAGCGCCCGTGCTCGCGGAGGTGGCTTGGGGGGCCCCGATCTCGGCGAGCCTGACCCGGCTCCATCTGCAGTGCTGCTGGACGCCCCCGCGGGGCTGCAAGCGCGGCGGGCCGAGGAGGGCGGCCAGGTGCTGCTTCGATGGTTCCCGCCGCCTGGGGCACCCATGACCAGCCACATTCGCTACGAGGTGGACGTCTCTGCCGGCAGCAGCGCAGGGGGAGCGCAGAGAGTGAGGGCCGCCCCTGCAATCCCTTCCCCAGAGCCCTAACTCTGATACCCCACATCCCATTTCCTTGGTGCCCGAGACGTCTCCACACCCCGGGCAAGTCCGATTTGTCCATGCGACTCCAATGCGCCTGGACGCCCACCGCCTCACCCTCCAATCCCTGACTACGGAACCCCACTGCCTCCGCGTCTTCTGGCCCATCCTTATATAGCCCAGGTCCCGCCCTTTGCTAATGAAGTCCTTGCTCTGATTGGCCTTGAGCTTTCTTGGGTCCCGCCCCCTACTGTCACTGGCTGCCTGTGCTGCCCTTCCTCTCCCTGATTGGCTGGATCCCTGGGGGGCGGGGAAAAATCCCCTGACCGCCCCGCCTCTCTCGTGGACCCCGCCCCCAGGTGGAGATCCTGGAGGGCCGCACCGAGTGTGCGCTCAGCAACCTGCGTGGCTCCACGCGCTACACCTTCGCGGTTCGCGCGCGGATGGCCGAGCCCAGCTTCAGTGGCTTCTGGAGCGCCTGGTCAGAGCCCGTGTCGCTGCTGACAGCTAGCGGTGAGGCCCTCGAGGGGATGTAGGAGGAGCTGGGCCAGACACCTGGCGAACGCCCGCGACCTGACCTCCTGCCGCCCCCCAGACCTGGACCCCCTCATCCTGACGCTGTCCCTGATCCTCGTGCTCATCCTGCTGCTGCTGGCCGTGCTCGCCCTGCTGTCCCACCGCCGGTGAGCCCCCTCCGGGCGCCGGGCCCAGACCCGCCCTGTTCCCTTGGGGGACCCCAGGGAAGCTCGGGGCGCAGGCGCTTGCCCAAGTCACACGGCGATGAGCCGAGCTTGGGGGCTTTCGCCCGTTTTTCCAGTCTCCCCAGCGGCTGCCGCTTCCTGGGTCACCCTTTTTCCCAGTGCCACCAACTTTGTCAGCTCACCCAGGGCGACCCATGCCTTTTCAAGTACAGCTCCTTCTGCCTGGAATACCCTTCCGGCCTTGTTCACTAGGGGGGCTCGTCTCTCCAGGCCCTGTTCATTTACTTGGTTGGAACATACTGAGTGCCAGCTATGGCCGAGGCCCTGGGAAGAGAGTGGGGAACAAGCTAGGCGCTCTCCACAGGGCCCTGACTTGGTGGATCTCGGAGTGAGGTCAGGGAGACAGACAAGCTAAGCAAACAAGGAAACTGAGAGACTGTTGATTATAAATCATGAGAGTGGTGTCACAGAAACAGACACATGAGAAGGGATGGGATAGTCAGGGGAAGCCTGTGGGAAACAGCAACCCTGGGGCAAAAGCCTGGAGGAGGGAAGGATATAGCTGTGTAAAAATCAGCGAGCAGAAACAGTAAGTGCAAAGGCCCTGGGGTGGAAATGAATTTGGGACATTGAAGCAGCTCTAAGAGCCTTGGGTCTAAAACAGTGTGTAAGGAGGAAGTGGTGGATGATGACACAAGGGAGAGGACAGAGGTCTGCAGGGATGTGGGCAGGAATTTGGATTTTGTTTGCTTGTTTTGTGCTGGAGGTCAAACAAGACCTTGAGAGTGCTAAGCATGTGCTTTACCTCTGAGCTATGCCCCTAGCCCTGGATTTTGCTCTGAATACACGGAACCATGGGACGGACTGACAAGGGAACTGACCTAATGGATCTCCGTGCAAATCCCAGGCCAACATTAGACTAAGAATGAGTCAGTGGATATTGAACTCCTATGCATCCTTCAAAACCCTGTTCTGGGGGCCTGGGCTTTAGCTCAGTGGTGCAGTGCCTGCCTGGCAAGCATGAGTTCCTGAGTTCGATTCCCAGTGCCCACAGAAAAAAATCTGTGCTGGTTACCCTTCTGGAGGGCCTTGCTATTCTCCAGGCAAAGCCCCTGCTCCCCAGCCATGATGGACTCCTCCACCTCCATGATGCTTACATTTGTTTTTTTTTTTGTTTTTTGTCTTTTTTGAGACAGGGTCTCCCTATGCAGTTCAGGGTAGCCTTGAGCTCACTTTGTAGCCCAGGCTGGTCTCAGACTCGCAATGATCCTCCTGCCTCAGCCTCCTGAGTGCTGGGATTACAGGCGTGCGCCACCACGCCTGGCTATGCTTACATTTGTGCCTGTGTGACCGGGCACTGGGCGGGCACTGGTGAGTTCCCAGTGGGTTGTGTCACTGGTTTCTGTCAACAGGACTCTGAAGCAGAAGATCTGGCCTGGCATCCCGAGCCCCGAGAGTGAGTTCGAGGGCCTCTTCACCACCCACAAGGGTAACTTCCAGGTAGGTGGCTTGGTTGTCCCCTGGGGGCTGGGACCGTCTTGCTTCTGGTGGGGGAAGCCCAGGGCTGTGAGCAGGCTGGTGCTGTCCCCCCAGCTCTGGCTGTCGCAGCATGATGGCTGTCTATGGTGGAGCCCCTGCACCCCCTTTCCGGAGGACCCACCTGCCCGCCTGGAAGTCCTCTCCGAGCGCTGCTGGGGGGTGACCCAGGCAGTGGAGCCAGGGGCAGACGACAAGGGGCCCCTGCTGCAGCTGGCGGGCAGAGCGCGCGCCCAGGACTCCTATCTGGTGCTGGACAAGTGGCTGCTGCCCCGGGGCCCGCACAGTGAGGGGCTCCCGGGGCCCGGTGGCTGCGAGGACATCGTCGCCATGGACCAAGGCTCAGAAGCGTCCTCCTGCTCCTCTGCTTTGGCCTTGAAGTCTGGGCCGGAGGCGGCCCTGGCCGCCAGCTTTGAGTACACCATCCTGGACGCCCGCTCCCAGCTCCTGTGCCCGCGGGCACTGCGCCCGGAGCCGCCCCCCACCCCGCCCCACCTGAAGTACCTGTACCTCGTGGTGTCTGACTCCGGCATCTCAACTGATTACAGCTTGGGGGGCTCCCAGGAAGCCCAGGGGGGCTCATGCGACGACACCTACTCCAACTCCTATGAGAACAGTCTGGTCCCCAGCCCCGGGCCTCTCAGCCCCAGCTACGTGGCCTGCTCGTAGGACCCCAGCCCGAGACTGATGGACCGGGAGGCCGAGGCCACCCCCAGGGTTGGAGGCGCTGATAAGCTTAGCCATCGACAGAGCTATCCTGCTCAGGAAGCCACAAGCGTGCAGCATTTTAAACTATGTATAGTTTTTTTGTGTGTATATACATATGTATATATATATATAAAAATTTATATGTAAGTTTTTCTACCATGACTTATTTTTTTGTCTTTTTGAGACAGGGTCTCGCTATGCAGTTCAGGCTGGCCT